CTTTCCGCAGCTCCTTTAATTGTTTGTTATTGTTATCACGATTATTCTTTAAAATAAAGTTATATAGTCATTAACGTTATTGAAACTGACAGCTGCTATACAGCTCGTTGAGAAATGAGGTTAAGTTGGTCGCTATAAGCTACTCCCTACGTTCAATGTGTCAGAGCCAACTTCGACCACGTTTTTATTTGAACGCTCGTTATAAATAGATGTGTCAATTGTGCACTTGTTGTGAAAAGAAGTATTAGAAAAGAAATTTGAAAAGTTTAATAATTGTTTCAAAGAACAGTAGTCCGTGAGATAACCAGAACAGAAAAAGCGATGAGAAAGTAGAACATATATTGTTATTTATACAGGGTTTTCTACACAAACTTTGACAAATGGTAGCTGGGTTAATTTCAAACAGTTTTTCTTATATGAGCATAGATCCGATTAGTTTTTGTTTAGAAGTTACAAACATTTAAAAAATATAATTTCATATTTCAATCGATTTAGCCTGATAATTAAAAATGATGTTGCTATAACAATAATTATTATTTGTGGTCATTTTGATTGCGTGTTGTTTCACTTGTGTGTTTTGGAAAATAAAAAAGCTTGCGCGTAATTGACCTTTATTCAAAGGTACACCCTGCATATAAACTTATTTGTTTTTCTAATCCCAATCATCTATTTACATAGCTTTGTCAAAATTTGCATAATTTTACAATTTATAAAGAACATCTTTCGACATCGCGTCTTATTTGTTATATTTTTACTGATAAATATAGTCACACTACGTTTATAGTTACATAACACTTGAAGATCTCTTTCAAAACACTCCTCCACACTTTTTTTTGCGCAAAATAATCTATCGACGCGCCCACTAACTATTTAAAGGAATATTAACGATATATTTTAATTACCCACGTATCTAGACTACATAATAATCAATAATGTGATCGGTATCCAGAAAAAAAAATCGACTAGTCGCCCATCTGTTCATAGCAACTGCTTTGAATCGTTTATACGCAAAAACTATAAATTTTCCACTGGAAGTCGATAGGACTTAGATGTGGCGATCTAATCTCCCGGAGCAAATAACTTGCAACGCGATTTAATGTGTTAAAACATCAACATTGGTTATTCCACCACAGGTTTGTTATTTTTGCGGTTTAAGAACCTCGAGAGCTCAGTCCAGATTGAACGGTGGTCCTTCCATACATGTCCGTGACGTAGACGTTGTTGTTGTTGGAATAGTACCTGTATGGGTGGTCTACGTACGGATTGGTGTAGTATGTCTTTTGTTCTGAGGGAGTGTAAGTATAGTAGCGAGGGTAGCCTGAGCCGGTGAGCACCCTGTACTGTCGGTAGGTCTCACCTAGCGCCGTCGAGCACAGCTGGACGAGGAGGAGGGCGGAGAAAAGGGCAACGGTCCTCATCTGAAAAAATGGGAAAATCTTAGATTATATTATTGACGGTTCAGGGGAATTATTTATTCATTTCCGAAATAAAGGGAAACAGAAAAACGAATTTTATATTCAAAATCGAGGATAGTTTTCCGTCGAGTGCAGGGCACAATTTCACATTTGCTTGCCTTCAGAGGTAGATTATTAAATCTCTAGAAGATTTAGCTTCCAAAAACAACTTAAGGTCGTCCGCATCGAGCAAGTAATTGACATCAACGTATTTAATTGGAGTATTAATGAAAGTAACAAACAAGAGTGGCCCCAGAACGGACCCTTGGGGAACTCCTGGATATTGCCGAAATTTATCTAATGCAAACCAATTATACTGTACCATCTGGGACCTGTTTTTTGTAAGTATTTTTCAACTTTTCACTCCTTACTTTTCACTTTTCTGTTTTCAAAATTCATATTCAAAAAACAGTTGGTAATCCGCATAAACTAGTGGAAAAAATTAAGGGATAAAAAAAATCTAAATTTTCGGCGATTTTTCAAACGGGGTACAATGACCTGTAAAAGACACACTTAACATTAGTCATTTTCTAGAAGACCCCTAAAAGTCCTATTTTTTACGATTTTTCAGTCATGTTAAGGATAAAAAAAAATTCTTTTCTAAAAAACTGTGCCAGGACCTTGTAGAGAATTCATTCAAGTTTCTGACACCCACCGTCGATTTTCTGTACAACCATTGGTTTCTGAGATATCGATGAACAAAGAGAAAATGATCCATTTTCATTCAAAGTTCGATAGCTCAGCGAGAAATGGTCGTATCGAGACCAAAAAAAAAA